GGCAGCAGTCTCTGAGAATCTTCAAACTATCAGCAAAGAATTGAAACCAGTCACTGGAGGGATGGGCCTTTTAAGGTACCGGGAAGTCAATGGGTATTCTGAGAGGCAGTACATACCTGCTCTCTACCCACTGATTCCAAGGGCTGGGTCTTACTTCAGGTCAGAAGAGGTGATAGTTTTGGGAGGCTGACCTGGCTAGAGAAGGCTTTCTTTGATATGAGCAGCTTATTTTGTATAAAGGCTATGGGGTGGGATCATGGGAAATTGGAATGCTACCAGTTTCATGTTTTGGGTTTTTTTTCTGTTTTTGTTTTTTAATCTGAAAAAACACTTTTCTGCTATCTCTTTATGTATGCTGGTAGGCAAGTGTGCATGCACATCAAACATGAGCATGTGTGTGAGGGAAGCAGGAAATGTCTCAGAGCCTAAGAACCATGTTTTACAGCCTCTTTGATGAGAAACACTTGGTGGTGGCTTCCCACCACCATCCAGGCCTGAGTGAGGGAAGGGTGGTGATAATGGGTTGCTTGGGTGATGTGGGCAGGGTGGGGGGGTGCAATGGATCAGGCCCCTCAGCATTTTCCCCTCACCATTGTCTTCCAAAGGATGTTTTCAAGGACCTCTCAAACTTGATCCATCTAACTTAGCCTGAATCCTCAGCATAGGGAATATTGTACTACTTAATGATTCAGGATTTCCATTTGTAATGATGCTCAATTTCCTTTTCTTAATATTTTTGTGGATAAAAATTGAACCAGAGACGAAGTAGCCATTTCAGTAAGAAAGTAAGTGAACCATGTTGGATCAGATCATTGGATATCTGCCAAGTCCTCACCCCTCAAGTTGTGCTTCTTGAGCATCTCTCTCTTCATCTCCTGACTTAAGGATAACTCTTTCTGATCCTTGGAACTCTCTTCCCTAGGAATTAGTGTGTGGTATCTCTCTATATACTTGTGATTTCACAACTAAATATGAAATTCACCTCTCCAGGGCATGAAGCAGTTAGTTGGGGTAAAGTTTTGCTGATAGATTCAAACAACCAAACTTCAGTGGTCTGGGTGAGACTGTCATTCCCAAAGCTGTCAGCAGAGCAAGGCTGTTTGTCTCAGTCCATTTGAGCCTGGCATTGCTGTGGCATTGCTCTGGAACTGAGTCCTCATCCCATGGGGAAGGAAGGTCTGGGGGTTATACATTCCTTTTTCCTAGTGTTCCTGGCCATGACCCCCTTCCTCCTGCTTTCCAGTTCCCTGTGAGTCCTCAGAAAACCAGTCTCCTTTCTGAGCTGTGGCCTCTTGTGCACCGAGCTAAATCATTCTTTTCCCAAGAAGACTCTGAGAGAAGAGCTCTTTACCCCAATAGACCCCCATAAGACTTTCTGGCCCTCCTCTGATTTGTTCCCGGGAGATCTGCACCTCACGGCCTGAGAATGCTGTGCTTTCCATCAGCCACTGTCAGACTCTGTCCCCTCCTACTGACTCTTCTGCCCTATGTGTTCTGATGTGACCCCTTAATGTCTCTTCTATGCTACTAGCTTGGCCCTAGGTCTTTTATGAATACCAAGTCTTAACGATGAACTTCCTGAGCAGGCAGTGGCCAACTCCTTCACTCTTCAGGGACCTGAGTCTGCCCCTTTCCTCTCACAGGTTGTTTGGATATAGTAATCCCATGCATTGGGAAGAGGTAGCCAGGCAGGCTGCAGAGTCTGTAGTGCAGAGGGCTGGGGGAGATTTGGGTACTCTGTTACCACTACTGGGATGATATTCAGAAGAGGGGACCTCATACTGTGACCTGACCCAGGACCCTCCTCTGGAAGAGAGCTCAGCCCAGGTGTGTGTGTGTGTATGTATGTGTATGTGTGCGCATGCATGCACACGTGTGTGTATGTGAGAGTGTGCACTCGTGCACATGGGTGTAAACTGACTGTTATCTGGTTGTGTTACTCAGGGTGGGCTGGGGACTCATGGGAAAAATCCCCCTCAGCCTGCCCAAGACTGGTTTTTTTTTTTCCTGTACCCTCTCCAGAAGGGTCAGGGGAAGGGGGGGTCCAGGTGGGTTGAGGGGGTCGCAATGGATAACCACTAAGGCCACACTGCTGCCGGGAGGAGTTGGGGGGGGGTATGAAGTGGTCCCAGGGACCTGGCACCTGGCTTTGGTTTTCCGTCTTCTTTCCTCAGGACGCCCCCTGAGGCCTGGGACCTGCTGCGCCTGGCTTTGAGGAGCATCTGTGTCTGGGTGCTCCAGCTGCTGGTGTGATCATGGGCTTCCCTCCTCTCTCAGCAGGGCAGGTGCTCCTGCCCCAGAGACTGGGCAACTGGCTGTTTCTATGACGTATTTATTTTTACTTGTGTTTCATGTCACTTTTTTAAAAAAAAAAAAGCAAACAGAACAATTGTAAGTCAGTATAACTGCCTATCAGTTTTCTTTATTTCTCTTTTTGTAAAATAAAATTTAAACTCCAGAAGGCAGTGTTGTTTGATCAAGGAATTGTCTGAACAGCTGTTTGCTGACTGGGTGGTGAAAGGGATATAAACTATATCCTGGGCACTGGGAATGCACTTGGTGTGTGTGGGCTGGGGGAGAGAGGTGGAAATAGAGGGCAGACTGCTAGCAGGCTCTTTGTTGCAATGGGGTTCAGTAAACTTTTTCTGCCTTCACTCACCTGAAGAGGACCACATTTCCAGGCTCTAGGGGAAACACTGAAGCTGACTCAGAGTGGCTTGAAGCTAGATGGTCCTGCTGGGGCAGCCCTAACCAGACTGTGGGGGTTTGGGGATTGGGTGCAGCATTAGTGCCTTCAGAGGATGGAAGATGGCTGGTGGCAGGGTGTGTAGACTATCTTATACTGCATATGCCTTCTCCATTTGTCATCTGGGTTAGTGGATCTAACTATTGCCTCACAGAGAACTACCCAGGGCTTTGGAATATGAGAGGTAAGGGAAGGTGAGGGCAGTACACTCTTTGTCTCCAAGTTTGGTCCCTGTAAGGGGAGAAGCCCAATGGAAAGAGTCTCTAGAAGTTTACAGAGGGAGAATTAAAGTAGCTCTGTGGGGGTTTCTTGGACAGAGAAAAGCAAGAGGAGACAAAGGCCAAGTCTGGGTTCATGAGAGAATATGTACTATTGCGGGGGGGGGGGTTGCGGCGGGGGGAGAGTGGAGTGTCGGGGCAGATGGCTAAGGCAAACAGGTCTGCTTCACTTATTTCTGGAGGGAAGAGGACCACGTCTTGGCTGCTGCCCCCTGGTGGCCAGCAGTGGTCTTGCGGATATCCCCTAACCATAGGTTGGGCTTGCTCTGTTGGGAGCAGCCTGAGATGAAGGGGAGGAGTGGGGGCTTGTGGCCGCCAGCCTGTCACAGGCCAACTCAGACTCTCCATTGACAACAGAATCAGTGAAGCTCCTAAGGCACACCCTGAACTCTGACGTGGGCATCTGGAATTCCCCAGCCAGCCTGAAGGAAGTGAGCAGAAAGGTCAAGATGAGGAAAGAGTAGCTCCAGACAACAGTTTCTTGGGAGAAGCTCATCAGATTCTGAAAAACAGGAAATATGACCATGAGAACACAGTGGGCACAAGCTGTCTTGTCTCTGAACCATGAACTGGCCCTTATCTCACAGGAAATGCTTCCAAGTGTATAGCCCACTTGCATGGAGCATCATGTGTTTGATGTTCATAAGTAAAACAGAACTGTCATGACCCTGGTAGCCCAGCCCTGAGTGCCTGTGAGGGACTAGCTGTTCTTTCTACTAGTGTTTGCCTGGGGAGCTGGGGATAGGCTTGGCCCTGTGGATGAGAGTCATACTTTCCTGCCTGGGAAGGAACAGTGTGAAGTAGTGGGAAAGGAAGCCAGGATTATGCACACCTCTGTGTGTTCAGTCTGCCCTTTGCTAGTGCAGTAGTGGAATCCACAGTAAGATGATTCCCCTCCCAAATATCAGTCCTTTGTCTGGAGCACCAAGGTACCTGTTGGCCCAGCCTGTCATGTAGCCAAGCTTAGGAGCATAGTTGTTCCCTCTCCTACCCCTTACACTGCAAGACTGGGCCTCTCAGGAGGGCAGAGTTTTATCTTTAGGGCTCTAGAAGAGTGCTTTGTAGTTTGTAGGTCTCAGAAATATGAGCTGAAGATTAAACCTATGTTCAAGGAGCTTACACTTGAACTGGGAGTTACCTAGAATACCTTAAGCCAGAAAGGCAACCCAGGCACTTCCCCGGCTCTGGGAGGAGACTGGAAGGGGGCGGTTCCTGCTTAGCTCCAAGAGGGCAGGGCCTTGGTTCTGTTTCTTCAGTATCCTCAGCCCCTAGAACTGTCCTGGCAAGGCGTGCTACTCAGTAAATGTTGGGTGGATGAATGGCCACTCCTGTGGTTGGGAGTGGGGTGGGTGGAGTGTTGGAGGCATGACTATTTGTGCTGTTCCAGAAGTTGGATCCACTAGCTTCTTCCCTGAGTCCAAGTTGGGCATCAGTTTCCTCAGTTGTAAAACGGGGGCAAGTAGCCATGACATGCTGGGTTCCCAGGTCTATTGGGAAGCTACAATGAAAGGAAGTGGCAGGACGAAGGGTAGTACAAATAAATGCCAGAGGCTGATACTGATGTGCTGAATTTCCCAAGCTTCTTCAAACGCTCCACTCTGGTGCGGGCTTCCTTGGGCCCAGCCCGGCTATCTACTGTGGTCCACCAGGCAGACTTCCACCCACCCGCCCCCACGCCTAGGGCCGGGTAAGTTTGTGGGAGGCAAGAAAGTGCTCAGTGGGCTCCGCCCCTGACTGCTCCGGGGGATGGGCGCTGCTCGGTGCTATGGAGACCCGGCAGGGCCGGCCTCCGCCCTCCGCCCTCCGGGTCCCGCGCGCACGCGCCCACGGCCACGGCCACGTCCCGCCGCGAAGGGGGCGGAGCGAGCGTGCGCTACGGGCGCGCGCAGGCTCCGCGACCTACCCTGGAGCCGCCTGCGCGGATCGCTGTCCGCTGCGGGCGGCCGCTGAGGTGAGGGCCGGGCTGGAGGAGAGGCGTCCCCGCTGGGGCGGCCTCACGAGTGCTGAGGGCCTGGAACCTCTGTCCGCCCTGGCGCGACCTCAGGGGTTCCCGCGTCCCCTTCGTGACTCCCGCAGCCCAGGCCGCTCTTTGCATCTCTTCTCGCCCACAGCTGGCCCCGGCTGGGTCCAAGGGCCCGAACGCGACCTTGGACCAGCCTACCATCCCGCGTCGCCCCGGCTTCGGCCCCGGGCGCAGGGCACGCCCGGAGCCAGAGGAGCCAGAGCGGGGGTGGGGAGGTGGGGGTGGGGAACTGAAGCAAAAACTGTACTTTAACTCCGCCCCTATCCCTGGAGGCCGCGCGTCGCTGCCAGGGCTGCAAACTTCAGAGTCTCTTAAGTTACGGAGGTGTGTGAGGCCCCTAGAGGTCGTGGTTGAAAAGAAAGGGGCTGGGTAAATAAGCGAGGCGCGGGTGAGCAGGGCTGCAAGCCCAGAGTAGGAGGCGGCGCATCTCAGTCCCGCGCAGGCCCAGGTCTTACCGCGCTCCGCTGGCACCGAAGTTTAAGGGCCCGGCCCACTGCCGCGGCGCAAGTGAGCAGCCTCAGGAAGCCCTTGCGAGACCGCCCGCCCAGACCCTCGCCGGCCCGGGTCAGAGGTGACCACCCCCGGCCTCTGACGCGAGGAGAAACCGATGTCAGCGACACGGGCTGTTCAGAGCCAGGTACAGTGGCTGGAACCCTCCAGGAAGAGGGCTCTGTAAGAACAGGGGCATAAGCACGGCCCCAGTGAAGAGTTGACTTTATGAGGCCGAGTTTGGCTTCTGATTTCCGTAAGCGGTAGGAGGACGAGGTAGAGGTGCAGCCTTGTGAGGAGGGAGTTCCTGTAGAGGCCCTAGTGGGCTTTCCCCGAAAGGGAAACAGGGCATGGTGCCCAGCTCAGTGGTGATTTTCTCTCTGCCTCCAGCACTGAAGCACTTGGAGCATTTGGTCCCTGCGGCGCTGGATGCCATGAGTTGCTAAAAGTGAGCCTGGCTTTTCAGGTGAGCTTCCTCACCCCTTCTCCTGCCTTTTCTCTTGAGTATGGGGAAATAGACTTTGCCCTGCCTCCCTCCTGTGCAGACCTAAGCTCTGGGGTGCATTTTCCCTCTCTTCTGAATACTTAAGAGGTGAGAGGAAGAGGGAGGTGGGAACTAAGTTTCTGTGAGGTGGACAAGGAGTGTGCACCCGAGAGGGTAGGTCAAAGTGAGGGATGGTCACTCTCAAGGCAACTGGGAGACCTAGCTGCTGAGTGAGAGCTTCCAGCTGAGAGCCTTGGGTTCAGAGATGTCCCAACATGGATTAAATGCTTGAGCTTTTCTGGAAATCCTGTTACCAGGGAGGAGAAAGTGGAAATGGTAGCCTGGAGTCAGACTGCCTGGGCTCCTAGTGCCTGCATTTTGGTCCAGGTGGTTCTCTTTAGTACCTGTGTGACCTTGGGGAAGTCTCTTAACCTCCTGATCCATTCCTACCTTGTTCCGAGGGTTAATAAAGTAGCTGTGTTTCAACATTTGGGTAGTGCCTGGTGTATAGTAAGTACTGTAGATTCGTACTACACTATAGTAAGTGAAAGATTTATCATCATCATTATCACCAGAGAAAATAGGAATGAAACTAACTGGAGGCAAGACGAGTGAATACATCCAAAAAAAAAGCACACCTGTGGGGCAGGAACAGGGATGGCTAAGACCAGTGAGAGGCACCTCCATGCTGTGACATCAAAGGTTTAGGAGTTTAGTTTGCCTCTTTGTAAGGCAAACACTATGTGTACATTGACTCCACAAAGACCATTTTTCATCAAAAAATTTTGACACCCAGAACCCATAGGAAACAAATTATTCCATAGAGCTAAGTTTTCCATAGGGCTGAAGCATTGATTTCCACCTCCAAAATCTTTTAAATTTTTATTTATATTTTAGAGAGAGCAAGAGTGCACGAATGGGGGAGAGGGATAGAGGGAATGATAGGGTGGTGGCGGGGAGAGAAAATCTGAAGAAGCCTCTATGCTCAGCATGGAGCCTGACATGGGGCTTGATTCCATGACCCCATGATCATGACCTGAGCCAAAATCAAGAGTCAGACTCTCAGCCTACTGAACCATCCTGGCACCCCAAATATTTTAAATTTTGAATGTTAATTTTAAATACTTGGAGTGAGAATGTTCCTCCAGTGGGTTACAGTTTCCCTTCCTCTTTAAACTGTTGATCCCCCCACCCCACCCCCCACCCCACCCCGGGACCCAAATCAAGCCCTTTGTTTAAGAGGGTTGGGCCTCTGGCCCCTAGCTTAGTGGAGGGCTGGATGGTCTGCCTTGAACCAGCCTCTGTGTTGGGTTCCTGGCCCTGCTTTTGGATAGCTTCTCTGTTTCTTTGTAGTTGTTGTTTTCCTTGAAATGAGTGTCTTTATTGCTTGTGCCATACAAAAAGGAGGAATGAGGAAAGGCCAATGGAGAGGAGGGACAACTGTCATATAAATGACATAAACACAAAAAGGAAAAAAAACCTTTCACCTCACCCCAGGATGCCTTTCCATGAACTACCTAGTAGAGGAAGTGGGGTTGCAAAATCAAAACCATAAAAAGTAATTCTAAAGACCTGGAGGTGCTGATGGAGCAAGGGATAGGGCAGCAAGTGGACCCAGCTATGGCTCCCTCTAGGCTGGCACACCGTGCCCATGGGATGAACTGCTTTGGCCAGGGATAAGTAATTGTTCCCCCTGGTGTGTTTCCATTTCTAACAAACTTGTCTTCCTCCTCTTTGTTGTTTCTAATCTATGGGCTGGAAAAGTGAGATGCAGCTTGTTAGCACCAGTAGCTCAACTCTGGGAAGCACAGTGCTGGACTTTGTTCTGGCTGCATTGACTGATTTGATCTGATCTTTCCTTGGTTCTGGATGAGTGAGCTTGCTGGATAGCAGAGGCCAAATGTGCTTAGCAAAGGAGAGTTTCCTATGAAAGTCTCTTCCTGTGGTACATTTTCAAAGCCCTGGGGTTTTGTTCCTTATGGTTTTCCTATTTGTTAAGAAATGATTGGACCCTGGCACTTGCCTATCCTCCCCCTGACAGTGGTCCATAAGGCTTTGGGAGGCCAGGCAGGCAGTGTGGCTCTGGTGTGGGAAGGAAGAGGTAATGTAGGGAAAAGTCAAACTGGTGGTCTTGCCCATCTTGAGGGAGGCTGGTCAGGGCTTAGAGTATGTCCATGGCTGACTCACTCCTGTTCACTATGACTCAGTTTCCCCAGGTGTGACCAAGGCTACCAGCTGACAAGCAGAGCTGTTCTGAGAGCCTCAACAATTGTGATTAAGAAATAAAGAGGCTTGTGGCTTCAGTCATCCTTTGTTGCTCTCTTCTAGGTCACTTTGTGTGTAAACACCCTGGTCCCTCCTCCTCCTGGGTCAGAGCACACAGGCAGGGCTGAAGTTGGGCCAGAAGTGGCTGGCGGGCAGGTGGGCACATTGGTCAGAGCAGGCTACCAGCCTCCTCTCCCTCCTGTCTCTTTTGCAGCTGTCTTGGGGGCGCAGTGTTGGGGGCACAGAGCCATGTCTGACCTGTTCCTCCTAGGCCTGATTGGGGGCCTGACTCTGCTGCTGCTGCTGACACTCCTGGCCTTTGCTGGGTACTCAGGGCTGCTGTCTGGGGTGGTGGTGAGTGCTGGCTCACCCCCCATCCGCAACGTCACTGTGGCCTACAAGTTTCACATTGGGCCCTACCGCGAGACTGGGCGGCTTTTCACCGAGAGCTGCAGTGTCTCCCCCAAGCTCCGCTCCATCGCCGTCTACTACGACAACCCCCACATGGTAAGGAGCCTCCTGTGGCCTGGCTGGGATTCTGCCCCATGGATGGACGTGGGACGGGGGCGGGGGGAGGGGCTGGAGTTTCTGAGGAAGGGGTGGGAAAATCTGTGATCTGGTCCTACAGACAACCTCCTCTCTAAACTTGAAGCACCTTTCAGATTTAGCTTGGACTCCTGTGCCAGACTTCCATATGTTCCTTTCTACTTGCCCAGGTCTAGTTCTCAGTTCATAACTACCCATGGACTTCTGACTGCAGTGGCCCACACCATTGTGTGTCCCTAATTTCTGCCAGGGTTTTCATCCCCTGCCTCCTCTTGCTGTCCCTCCCTCTTCTATCCCCATTTGAGGCCAGTGCTCTAAGGCCAGGCTGTTCAGATTCTGCCTCTCTTTGGGGTCCTATCTTGTTATTTCTGTGCCTTTCCTCTGTTAGTTTTCCTGCTGTGGCTCCTTGTGGGCTTGAGAGGGCAGGCCCTGGGCATGGCGCTTAGAATCCTACCTCTTCACCCGTTTTGGTGACTCCTGCCTCAGTTATAATGGCATCTCTTTGGATGTCAAGCTGGCTGGTTGCAGGAGGGCCTGGGGGGCTGGGGCAGCTGGAACCAGGTGAGCTGCCCAGAATGTCTAGGATGCTGAGCTCAGAGACAAGCCCAGCATCACTGGCACCCCGTGGGCGTCTGGCTGTACTTACAGCCCATGGTGAGTCAGGGCTCACCAATGTGGCCTCCTGCCATGCCATGGGGCGGTACTGCCCACAGCTGCATGGGCTGGAAGCTCTGCCAAGAGTTCTTCAGGCTTCAGCCTGGAGCCTTGGCAAAAAGGCCATTAGGAATCTCCAGTCTGGTTTCCTTGCCTGAAGAGCTCAAGTAGGCGAAGCCTATAGCCTATCCACTGCCTTCTGACCAAGCCTCACTGGGGTACTTAGTCGAAATGAGGGTGTGCTGACTGTCTGTGCCAGGTTCTGCGTGATACCTCTGCTCCGGAGATGAACAGACCTGGCCCTTCCCTCAAAAAGTTTCATGTGGTTGGCAAGTCAGCCCCATACAAATGAATCTCTAATAGGCACTATACTTGATACCCGCAGAGCTTTGAGCTGTGGGTTTGGGGAGGGTACCTCAGGTCTGCCCGAGAGGCTCAGAGAGGAGACAGACTTTAGCTGGGATTTCTCCTGTGAGTAGAACTTTGCTCTGCTACGAAGGGCCTCCTGACTGAGGGAAGTACAGCAGTAAAGGCTTACAGACATGAGATGACAGGGGAAGTGTGACCAGTGGACATGTGGTGGGTGAAGAAAGTGGTAGAAGGGTTCACTGGGCCAGGCAGTGGGAGGAACAGCAGGTGGGGAGGCAAGGCGCGGCACAGTTTGCCCCCTGTGACTTAGGAAATTAACTGGATGGTAGGTGGAGGAGGGGAGGAGATGAGACCTGGAGGCCATTGAGGAGATTGGGCTGGGCCCAGGTGAGAGGTGACATGGCCTGGTTGAGGGATGAGTAGACGATGAGGATTTGAGGTCACATGTTTGGGAGATGGCACTAAGTGGGAGTCTAGAGCACTGGAACCTAAGTGGCATGGGGCAGGTGCTAGGCTTCGGAAAGCTCCCGGACCCGATGCCTGACCCCCACCCTTGCAGAGCTGTGTTAATGTAAGTCCCTGCCCCTCTTATATGCCCTCCCCTGATCTCTGCCCCTCTTTCCTCACCTGGTCCTGTTAGAGACTCTGCAAGGCCTCAGTGGCGGGAAGGAGGAGAATCCTTGCAGTTGCCTCTTTCCTCATCAGCATGTCTTGTTCTTAAAGCAGCACATTCCTTCTTGGGTTGGAAATGAAAATTCCAGGATGGGAAAGAGCCAAGGCAGCAGTATACCTTGAGGTCAGTGCTGGAGGCTATTCCACGGACCTAGCCCAGCCACTGCCTCTAGGCAGCCCTCCATACAATTGTCCTTGAGGTGGGGTGTTCTTGGGTGTCCAGGATTGGCTGGGTACAGCCTTAGTTGGGCGCCAGTCTTGGGGGGCCATGGCCTGAGAGTATAGCCTCAAGGCTGGCAGCCCTGGGTTCTCATTCTGTCTCATCACTGTCATGCTGTCTAATCTTGATCAAATCACATAATCTCTATGGGCCTCTGTTTCTTCATCTATATAGCTATATTAAGATATCTGCTTCACAGACTGTCTGGCAAGAATGAAATTGACACAGGTGAGACATTCATCCTACCACCTGGCCCTCAATAGCTGTTTAACAACAACAAAAAGGGTGGACAAAACATTCATATTAATTAGGTGCACTGAGACATTATGCTGAGCTCTTATGACCTAGCCCTAGACCCTTGGCCTGGCTATGGACATCTGGATGGCTCAGAGGACAAATGTATAGGTCAAGTGGCCCCTCTGATCCTGTCCCTCTCAGTCCTGGGTCACTCTAGAAGATACCTGTGTCCTCATTCATAGATGGGTCATACCCTGACACCTGGGGTGGCTCAGGGATGCTTAGTCTCCACCTACTCTGGGAGCTGGGCAGTATATTCTCCTCCTAGAAGAGATTGTCACAGAAGCTTCAGGGAACCATGGACCCCCAGACTTCAAGTGCTCATGACTATCATAGATTATCTGGTCTCTAAGTACCTGAGGCTTCAGGGTCCACACTGCTTATATTATAGAGGAAGAGACTGAGGATCATATAGCCAGAGTTGTATTTATCTCACACAGTTCACTCATACGGTATTTGAGCACTTGATCTATGCCATGCTTCTGGGCAGCGGGGCACCTTAAGGGCTAAGGGGCCTATCCCTCAGGACCTCTCAGTGTGGGTGTATCAGGGGAGCCTGGGGGAGGAACCCCATCCAGTTCTGGGGAAAGCTAAGAACCCAAGCCTTCTCCCTCGGCTGCCTCTCTGAGCAGTGTCCAGTATGGGGCTCTGTGTACTTGTGGTTCACAGAAGGAAGGGACAGGATGTAGGTTGCACTGTTGTGTGGCCCATCCCCACACCCTCTCCCTCTCCAGGCTGAGCACAATGGGAGCCTGAACCTGCTTCTGTGTGAATGTGGGGAGGAATGAGACTATTCCAGGCTCTATGAATGGGGCAGGGAGTGACCTGGTGAGAGGTGGCCACCTGCTATCATTGCTGCCCTCCTCCATAGGGTGTGGACTGACAGCTCTCTAGCCACTCCCCTTGTAGGCCTCAGCTCCTGGCCTCAGCTGGACAGGAGGAGGCTGGTTTCTGAGAAAGGCCTGGTGGGGTCTCACTTGGTCTGGCTGTAGGCCCAGGAGTGACACAGGAAAGGGTACCATTGAGGCAGAGTCATGGCAATTGCTGTGGACTCTTTCATGTCAGATGCTTTTTGAGCATATATATCTCATCAGCTCTGTGTCCTAGATTTGTCAGCATGTGTATGTCAGTCAACTCCAGATCCTGGAGTTCTCTATGGGAGGAAGTTGCAGGGTCTGGGGAAGTAGTTCTTGTGGGGCAAGAGAAAGGATTCCATTCTCTATCCCTGAGGGCCTTTGGAGAGGTAGGACGAGGAATGATGGAGCATGTGACAGGAAGTGGAGAGACCCTGGCAGTGACTCGTAGGTGTTCCTTTCCTCTCCAGGGCCCAACATTCTTGGAGTGCAGCCATATTCTCTTTCAAGCACTAAGGGAAGAGGGTTCATTCCAGAGTCAATCTTTGATCTGTGCCTGCTCCCTCCCCTCAGTGCACAAGCATGTGAACACACACACACATCCAGTTCTGCCCTTGTAAAGCTAGAGAATGGTCAAAACTGCTTTGCTCTCAGCCCTGCTTCTGAGGTACAGTGTGGAGGTCTGGACAATGACCTTAGCTTCCCCCACCTTGGCCTGGTCCCTCTGGGAGCCTTGGGTCTTGGTGGGAGGGAAGGAGCTGGGAAGAAAACCCCTGGTGGCTCACTTGATCCTGGCCAGCTCTGGCCTGTGGATGGGCTCTACTAGCTCAGCTGCTGTCACTGTGCCCGTGGGTCTGTCCTGTGTGCCAACCTGGCCCTCCACCTCTTGCCCCACCCTCTGCTGCTGCCATCTCCACTGCTGTTTGGGCCTTAAGCAACCTGTCTGCCTGCCCTTGTAGGGAGGCTGGCTGAGGCAAATGGGGCATGGTAGCTGGTTCAGTTTACCTGGCTGAGGCCTAGGAAAGGGTGCTTGCCCCAGGCATGGGGCATATAGGGGGAACTGGTGGTGCTTGGGTTTTGCCTTTAGTAAACTAGACTGTATTGAAGCTCCTTTTTTCTCCAAGTCCTCTGAGAGCCATCTTGGGACCACCAGCTCTGCAGGGGCTAAGGCTAGTAAGAGTGTTGATTTAGGCCTGTGCTGCACTTTCCCCACCCCCTACACTCCCTGGAGGCACTGAGACCACATGGAACCTAAGAAGGAATGAGGCAGTAGGATTTCCCAGCATTGACCCTTGACAAGGGCAGTAGGAATGTGGGCTAGCTGATATTTCCCAAAGGCCCAGGCCATTCTCTACCTCCGTTACCTGCGATGACTTTCTGCTAGATGGAGTCCAAGCTTTTGCTCTATAAGCGGTTTAACTGTGTGGGGCAGCTCTGGAAAGGAACACTCCCTTGTTCCCAGCAGAGTTGCCTTTGGTAGGAGGAGGACTGAGGTGTGGGAAGAGAGGGCTTTGGACTCTTTCTGGGTTTGAATTAAGGCCTTACTGCTTACTAGACTGTGATTGATTCTGAGTTAGTCACTTGGTCTTTCTGAGAATCTCTACCTCAGAGGCTTTATTTCCTCTAGGGATTAAATAATAAGGGTAAGGCCCGGGGCGTCTGGGTGGCTTAGTCGGTTAAGCGTCCGACTTTCGCTTAGGTCATGATCTCGCGGTTCGTGGGTTCGAGCCCCGCGTCGGGCTCTGTGCTGACTGCCAGCTCAGAGCCTGGAGCCTGTTTCAGTCTGTGACTCCCTCTCTCTCTGACCCTCCCCTGCTCGCGCTGTCTCTCTCTCTCTCTCTCCTAGAAATAAATAAAACATTAAAAAAAAAAATAAGGGTAAGGCCCAATACCTGGCCCCCAGTAGATGCTTAGCACTCTTGCCTACCCTCACTCCCGTGCCTCATGCCACTAGGACTTTGTACTTTTGGAAACCCTGTTTGCCTGCCTCTGGCCTAGCCTCCTGCAGGTGGCCTAGGCCATTGAAAAGGTACAGCATAGAGAGTCCATTGAGCAGCCCATTCCTAGGCAGGGCCTATTCCTTGGGCTTCCAGGTGCTGTGGGTTGTATGACACAGCTCTGGAGCCAATCTGCCTTGGTTCAAATTCGGACTCCACACTACCTTGCTGTGTGGCCCTTGCTAAATAGCTTTACTGTCTGGGTCTTAGAATTGATAACGGTACCTATTGCACAATGCTGTTTGGATTGAATGGGCTGATGTACAGAAGGCAGCACCCGGGGCAGATGGTGAGCACCTTGTCAGGTACCAGCTGTTGTTAGGATATGCTTGGGGGTGAAAAAAGGAAGGCCTTGAAAGTCTTCTAGATGAGAGTTCCCTTAAAGCTCCTGGACCCCTCCTTTGGAGGTTGGCACCCTGGTGGCTCCCCTCCCCTCCAGCCTGTCATATGGGTCCTGCCCTCTGACCCTGCTATCTGTGTCACTCTCATCCTAACTAGTTCTAGCCCAGCTTTTGCCTTTGGGTGCCATCAGCTTGGGGAAGTTGGTGTGTTGACCTGCAGCACCCCGGAGGTTAAATGAACCCACTGTTCACCCTCCAGCAATGAACAGCTGTGGCTGCTCTGTTCCCCTGGGGGGTACCTGTGGGAGTGAAGGGCACTGTTGCTATTTCTACCCTTACTGTGGGCAGCTCTGGGCTGGGTACGCTGCCCAGGGAGGAGTCAAAGCAGCCCTCCAGGCCTGAGATTGGCAAGCATTGCAGCTCTCCTTGTCAGATGTTGCTGATTATGGATCCGGGGCCGGCCATTTCTGCTGAACTCAAGATCTGGGTGTGGTCTGGGCCAGCTGACCTCATTTTTCTTTCCTGGATCCTGGAAGATAATCAGTCTTGTCCTGTTTCTAGACTCAGTGAAGTCTTGGCCAGACAGGAACCCTCTTTTCTACTTCTTTTTTAATGTTTGTTTACTTATTTAGAGAGGGAATGCACATATGCATGTGGGGGAGGGGCATGGAGTTGGGGGGAGAATCCCAAGCAGGCTCTGTACTATCAGCACAGAGCCCAGCACAGGGCTCAGTCTCGCAACTGTGAGATGATGACCTGAGCCAAAATCAAGAGTCAGATGCTAAACTGACTGAGCCACCCAGGCACCCTGGGACCCTCTTTTCACTATGGCTTCACCAACAGGGTCAACCTGTCACTGCAGGACCTCTCTGGAAGGGGCAGTGGGGCCATTTTGTACCCGGAAGCTTTAGATTCCAAGCAGACCACTGTTTTCTCCCAGGCCAGGACTCAAGAGGCCTCACAGCTCTTGTTCTGGCCACAAGTACCCTGAGAAATGGCTAATACAGTGAGGAAAGGGAGCAAGCAGATGGAACCAAGATGGGTGGAGTTTCTAGCTATCAGGACATTCCTCTATCTTCTAGGCTCCTGACAACCTCAGTGGGCCATTCTCTTGGAGGTGAGCATGGGCTCTCCATGGAGCCCAGGAAAGCCTTCCCCTGCTCCTAGGCCAGCCTTGCCATTCCCCAGCTAGTCTTAGGGCCTGTTTCGTCTCCTTGCTGGTGCCGGGTTCAGCTGCTTTTCCAGTTCCAGCTTGGTACAGAGCTGCTTAGTAGGTGGTGGACTTGCTGAGTAACGGCTTAATCTGCCCTTCAGCCCCTGGCCAGGGCAGAACAGGGCGGGGGGAGGGGGGGTGGTAACTGGAAATGTCCTCACTTGTGGAAATGAGGGGTTGCTCAGACAGAAAGGAAGAACCTGTAGCTAACACATTTCCAGGATCTAAGAAGTCCTGTCTCCTTATTAGCTGCTTCCCTTTCCTGTGATGAGCATTCCTCTTTTCAAGTTGGAGGGAGAAAAGTTTTGCTCATGTGCAGGGCCCGTGTGTGCATGTGCATGCATGCATGTGCTGTTGTTGAGCACAGCCCAAGAACTTAATGTGTGTACGGGATCCTGGGCCTTTTTGTCTAGAAGCCTAGAGTGGTGGGGAGAGATGGAGAGGCTGTCAGTTATCATGCAGCATATGATAAGGCCTGCTCCTTTGGTTGAACATTTGGGATCAGAGAGGAAGAGCTTCTTGACAAGGAGCATCAGAAGGCTTTGAGGAGGAGGGCTGAGCTGAATTCTGAAGGATGGGCAGGAGTTGCCCAAGCAGAAGGGACTCTGGAGTAGGGTGAAGAAGGACACTCCAGGAAGAGGAAGTAGCTTACGCAAAGGCAGGAAGCATAGGAGGACGTGGCATGTCTGGGGAGCTGCAAATAGTTCTTTGTGGGTGTGTGTGGGGTTGTGGTGGGAGAGGAGACTGGCAAGGTGGGCTGGGCCAGACCCTGGATTTATCCCTCCCTCTGCCACTTAGATGCTCGTGGACACCTGCCCACCTGGGTTCTGGCCCTGGTTGGGGCCTTGGGGATGCAGAACAGGAGTGCTAGGCGAGTGTGTGGACAAATCCAGGCAGTATTGCGTGGACCACTTAAGACAGTGTTGCGTGATGGGCTCAGAAGTTTCGTCCTAGAGCTGAATTGGTAGCCATTGAAAAGTTCTAAGCAGGGTGGTCATGGGTGTTGTGGTGCTTTTGGGGGATTGAGGAGGATGTTGAGCTGGGAGCTCCATAAAGACTGCTGAAGTCATCCCAGAAAAGATCTTGGGACCCAGTCCCAGATGGGCCAGAGGGGGTCAAGTGACCTCCCATCCATTTCTCCATCTAATCTATATTGAATATTTCTTTTGTGTATCATAAGTTGCTGGGGTCTGGATCATGGTGATTGGCATTACAGCAGGTATTGTCCATTGGTCTGTCAGCAGGCCTTGCCAACGTGTCCAGGCTCAAGCCTTTGGTGTAAATGGAGCTGTTGCACCATCTGTAGACAAAAGATGGTACTGCACTTGCCTGGTTGGGTAGGAGGAGTGGCCGGCCTGCGGCCATATTAATGACTGCTTCTAGGTAGAGTTGATGGAAGCAAGAGTTTACAGCAAAATGTTGGGGTGGGATGGGGTGGGGGTGCCGCTGAGCTACCTTGAAAGATTCCCTAGAAGAGTGCTTGAACCTGAAGGATGGGTAAGGAGGAGGTACATGTTCAGAAGTTTGGTGAATGGGCGTTCTCCAGGCCAAGGGTCACTTGTTTGTCATGTCTTGTAGCTACTAATAACCAGCAACATTTACAGAGCCCTTGCTGAGTTCTGTACCAAGCTGAGCCCTCATATGAAGTATCTCATTTAATATGTCAATTCTGAAAGGAACCAGCACTCCAAGAAACCAAGGGCCTTATCCAGAGTAACACAACTCAAGATTCACACCTAGTCCTGTCTTTCTCCAGAAGTTTTGGTCTTGACCAGTGGAGCATATTGCCTGCCAGTAAAGCCCTGAGCTAGGCTTAATGATATAGCATTCAAGGGGGCAGCAAGGGGCCCTTAGCTGCAGAGAGCTGTGAGGTCGCACAGAAGTGAGAGCCTGGAGTTGGTGTGTGAGTCCCTGGCAAAGTGAGACTGTAAGGATAGAGCTAGGTTGGTCAAAGAGAGACAGAGCAGGGCTGAGAAAAACTTAGGGGATTGTTTACAGGGCTTGGAAAGGGAGGCCAGAGGCAAGAACAGGTCAAAATGACTTCACGGTGCTGGGAAGGTAGACTGGGAAAAGGAGCAACTGAGGTAGAGGGGTTTTGAATTTAGGAGTCATTGGGCCCCAGGTCATGGGAGAAAGGGACCTTCGGGTCAAGGGAAATCTAGGATTGACAGTACAAGGTCTGTAATGAGTGTCTTAGATTCCAGATCAGATACCCTTGGGGTTCAATATAGACTCAGGTGGCAGGAAATGAGACAAATTGGGACCCCCTTGATGCTAGGAAGAGAGGTAGATGCTAGGCCTTGCAGGCCTGGGGTCAGGCCTAGGAAATGTTGGAGCCCCACATGGAGCCCCATCTGCCTTGGGTTTGTAGGAGCCAGAAGAGGAGGGCAGCTAGGGAAGGGAGCAGAGTACAGCGATATGCAGGCACTGGGGGCTCAGGGAGACTTGAAGGGGAAGCAGTAGTCTCCAGCTGAGCCAGGAACGGACTTCGCAAGTGTGGCTGGGATGGGGGGATGGGGTGGAGAAGAGATCTGGAGGCTCTGGTGATGGTGGCGGGCCCTGCCTGAGGAACTGGGGAAGAGGATCTCACAGTTTCATCAGCAGCTCAGAGGCCAGTGTGGTCCTGCTTCCTAACCAGTGGTTCCTGCAGCCTCTTCACGGCCAGCACTGGGTCTGGCATGCTTGTTGGAGGCTTAAATGAAGGGATGGATGAGTCCTGCAGCAGGATGCGATAGGCTGGGGCCACAGATAGGTTCCAGCAGGAAAATATTCCTCTCCATCCTGGGGTTGTGGCCTGTTGGAGCTGGTGGTTTTGCCGGGCCTGAGCGGGCACAGAACCCAAGTGGCAAGAGTTCTGAGAGCCTCCTTCCTTCGCCCAACCCTGAGACCCCTGTTCTTCCTCCCCAGGTACCCCCTGAGAAGTGCCGCTGTGCGGTGGGCAGCATTCTAAGTGAAGGTGAGGAGTCACCCTCCTCTGAGCTCATCCAGCTCTACCAGAAATTTGGCTTCAAGGTATTCTCCTTCCCGGCACCCAGCCATGTGGTAACGGCCACCTTCCCGTATACCTCCACCCTGTCCATCTGGCTGGCTACCCGCCGTGTCCATCCTGCCCTGGATGCCTACATCAAGGTGAGAGACAGGCCTGGGGTTTGTGTGTGTTGGGGGAAAGCCAGTCCTTTGGGTGAGAGCCAGGGAGGACTGCTCATGCCGGGAGGAAAAGCTGGTTTGGGGAGGGCAGCATCATGGGACCCTCATGGGGCAGATGCTTGTGGAGCTAGGAATTTGGGCAGAGGCTACTGGTATCTGTCCCAAATGCCCAAGACCTCATGGATGCCAGAGCATCTACTAGGAGCTTGTTCAGAAACTTAACCTGGTCAGTTCAGCTCTGGCTTGGACCAGAGACATTTTTAGTTCTCAGCACCCACTCCAGGCTGAGAGGGGGTCTACCCTGACCCCTTCCTGATGGAGGCCCACAGAGCAAGAGCCCTGAGGCTTCGGTGGCTGGCAGGCCCCAGGTGTTCTGTGTTGCCCTGGCCCGGCCCCTGCATGGGTTTATGCACCTGCTGCCTGAGCGCAGGGCTAGGTTGACCCTGTCTCCTTCAGTTCCTGACCTAGTCATTAGCAATGCTGGCAGACTGGCCTACCTGAAGGAAGCAAGAGAGCCAGACACCAGGAGGACCTGTTGAGGGGTCTCTGTGTCCACAGAGATTTTTTTAAAACTTTCACTATTGCACATCCCTCCTTCTCCAGAACATTTTGTAAACTTGGATACTAGGGAAATAGCCCAGCTGGGCTTGAAAGCAATTGTTTATTCATCCACTCAGTTTGAATTTACTGAATGTCTATGTGCCATGTACTGTACTGGACACAATGTGAGATGCTGGACACTGGGATAGATAGGTATTTACAGCAAGTGGTAGAGACAGGTAATAAATATCAGACAAGAGGCATCCATCTGGGTCAGTTGGTGGAAACTGCGATTCTTGATCTCAGGGTTGTGAGTTTGAGCCCCATGATAGGTGTAGAGATTACTTAAAAATAAAATCATTTTTAAAAAGATAAATGTCAGACAAAAATGGGATACGTGCTAGACAAGAATGGTGAGAAAAAGCAGGGGTCCAGCTTGGATAGAGTAGGTTAGGGAGGCCTCTTGGAGGAGGCTACCTCCCAGGTAGAATCTTGAAAGAGCCCTTGGAGAAGGGGTTAAGAAGATTCCAGGCAGAGCAGAGAGGGAGCATAGGTTTGATCTAAAGGTGGTAGGAAGTCACTGCAGTGTTGCATCCAGGAAAATAACACGTCCTCTCTAGCCACATGTGTACAGAATAAGCTCTCTCATCCTGGGAAGTGGGTACTAGATCCTGGATCATAGCAGCCAATGGAGGTACCTAGGAAGCTGTCAGGATTTCTAGTGTGAGCGCTGGTGACTTGGACTTGGGCAGTGGCTGTAGAGATTTGGAAAAGGTGGAGATTTACAGTCTGTTTTGGAGATAGAACTAACGGACTTGTGCATGGATTGGATGTTGTGGAGGGGCTGGGAAAGGAGGAGTCACAGCAGGCTCCAGTCCCCTTCAGCCTGGGCAGGAGCACAGGTGTGTAGTGGTGCTTTTAACTGAGATATGGAGACCTGGTTTGGGGAGGGGGGGCAAACAGCCCTATGGGCTGTATCGGGGGGTCTGTCTGGCAGATATCCAGGTGGAGGTGTGGAATCCCCAGTGCCATGTGCAGTTTGGACTTCAGAGAGGATTGGGGTGGTAGATATGTTTAGGGACCTGAGCCTGTGGACAGTATATGTCCTGGGGACAGCTCCTGGCAGCAAAGGCCATGCACAGAGTGCAGCCAGTGTGGCTAGGATCAAGGAACAGGAGAAGGAAGTCAGCAGGAATTTGAATTTGGTGGATTTGAAAGAATCCGATGGCTTTGTTCTCTAGAGCAGCCTGGGTGAAGGGATAAGGCCTTGGTGATGGATAATGAGAGCTCAGACAGGTCTTGGCTAGGGAGATGTAAAGAGTCTGGGGTCAGGGCTGGGGAATGAATGAATGGGTCACCAACAGTGGCCTTGGTGGTCAAGGGTGGGAAGAGAAGAAACAGGAGGGCTATTGCTGTGGTAGGGCAGGGGCACGGGGAGGACAGAGTTGGATTTCCCTTGTGAGTTAGCAGTGGCAGCGGGTAGGGTGCTGGGGGGCGGGATGTACTTGCCTGGGGGTAAGTTGGGCTGGAGGCTGAGGGGCAGGGTGAGCAAGGAATGGGATAGCTGGCTGGTGGTAAGGGCAGGAGGGCAGACATTGGTCCACTCAGCACACTTCCTGAAGAAAGGCTGCTGTGTGATGTCTCCAGGTCTGTCATGCCCATCCTCATCCTCAGGATTGGAGGAGCACCCCCAGGAAGAGACTTTGTGGGTTCCAGACCTCAGAACAGGACGTGTGGCATGTGGTGTGGTGGCGAGCAGCTCAGCCACCAAAGCCTTTTCCTGGCTTCAGGGGTTTATTTTTAGATACCTTTGTCCAAATTTCCCGGCCCCTGACAGCTTCACAAGTTGCCTTGTTTTGACGTCACCTCTTTGATGAAAGCCCTTCCTCCTTCCTCTTCTCGTGGGAGCCTGTTAGCTGTGTTCTGGGCTTGATTCTCCTGGGGTGGGGGCTGGAGCAGGGGGCTACCATTCTCCTTCCTGCCTTGGATGAGGAAGCCAGAGGTATAGGAGAGAGCAAGGGGCTTCTCCAGGGCTGTCTGTGAGGCACGGTGCTGTGGGAGAAGAAAGATGTCAGGCTGCCCACAGTGGAGGCATGGCCCAAGATGCTCTGATGGTTTCTGGAGGCAGGGGTCACCTCTGCCCCTGTGTTTAGCATGGTCTTGTGTCCCTGGGAGCACATCACATGAAGTGAGGAAGGGACTCAGCCTCCAGTGGACAGGGGGGTGGCCCTGTGCCTCTCAGCCTAGGAAACAGAAGATAATATAAAGCTCCCTCCCACATCTGCCCTCTTCCCCACTGCCCTGAGACCAGAGAAAGAAGGCTGCTAATGAGACTATGGACTCTTCTGCCTCTCCCAGCTCTGATGGCTAGCTGCCTTTGTGTGTATGTGTGTGTACGTGTATGTGTGCCCTTCTTTTTCTCCACCTCTCTGGCTTCTTTATGGATCTGAGGCTGGTCTGCTGTGGAGGTGTTTGAAATGGAATGACAGCAGCCATCGGCTTTCTGTTTCAGGAGGGATGAGGGAGGCCAGTAGTTGTGCTGCCAGCAGGATGGAAAGGAGGGCTTGGCAGGCTGGGGCAAGGGGCAGGGGTGAATGGTCTCAGGGGTTTGGGTGAGGGAGGTAGAGAGCAGGTGTTGTCCTGGCAGTTGCAGATGTGCCTGAGGCTGGGGCAGGATTGACCTCATGGGACAGAAAGGTCCTGGGGGTCACTGTAAGGAGCCCAAAAATGAAGTATTTGTCAGGTTTCTATGGGGATTCTGGGAGGATAGATAGATCCCAGCAGCTTTGTGGTCTGTGTGGCAGCCCATGGCTCTCCGGTCAGCCCTCCCCAGCTTGGCAGCCTGGCAAGCTGAGCTGTAAGGGGTAGAACTCTGCCTTTCTTCACATAAACCACCAGGGGGGCCCTAGGCAGAGCAATCTGGGACAGCATCTGTGTAAGGGATGCTTGGGTACCATGTGACTATTATTTTATGTGGAAGATGCCCCAGCTTTGTCAGGCTGCTCCACCAGAGTCCAGGAGGTGGCCTCAGGACAAGAGGAAACCTGTCCCAGGAAGTGGGTCTTCTGGCATCTGCAGGAGGGAACTGAGCTTCCCCGAAATTGTAGGGCCACAGAGGAGATGGTGCCCAGGGTCAGCCCAGAGCAATAGGTGAAGGCTCCCAAATTCACCACAGGTAGAACCAGTCTTAATTAGTGTTCAGGGAAGGCTTGGGGCACATGGAGTAGACCAGGACCGAGTGAGAGGCCTGGGGTCCTGTGTGTGAGATTGTGTGTGAGAGGCCCCTGAGCTCAGTGCTCACAGCTATCTGTAGCAGTTGGTGGGGAGGTCACTGAGAGTGTTAAACTGCCCAGCCCAGCCCCGTTGTGCCTGACTGCCTCTCAACAGCATCCCTAACTTTCATAAACCCCCTTCCCCAAGGTCTCTGCTTTCCAGGAGTTTTCAAGGAGGGTCCTTGTGATGTTTGGACATCTTCTCCTGAGTTTAAAGAGACACAGGACATCATCAATGTGGAAGTTGGTTGGCTGAGTAGTACAGGCAGGCCTTGGGGGTCAAGCATTGGCTCTTTCTCCATAGAACTGTGGAGAAGCTGGGGCAGGTGGGGGTGGGGTGGATGTAGTGAGCTGGCTGGTTGCGGGGAGTCTTGGTCGTAAAGTTCTGGGAAAGCTGGTTTGATGGGATTGTCTTCCTAGGGGTGTAAAGTAACAGGAACCCTAGACCATAGTTCTGTTCAGGACAGGAGCCTAAGGCTATGCTAAGGTGCCCCTGTGGCTTGGCAGCCAGGGGTGGGGATCTACACTTGGACCCTTACTTGCTTCAAATGGAGTAGCTCTTCCTCTGGGTTTTAATGAACCAGATGATCTCATGAGGTTTTGTTTGGAGGAGGGTATCTGAGACTTAAGTGGTTTGAAAACTGCTATCCTCAGAGAGGGGCACAGCTGGGCAAATGCCCCCTCCACCCGTGGCCAACTGTGTGTCTGTTGCAGATCCCGAGGACACTGGCAGCTGCAGTGTGAGTGGAGCTGGGAGGCACCAGGGCTCATCCCAAGTGCAAGCCAAGGACAGCACCCCCAGCAGAAGCAGTTGTTTCTGGGGAGCCTGACTGACTGGGAGTTGGAGCTTAAGGGAGCCCTGCGGCTGTCCGGCTGTCCCTGGGGTGGTGGTGACTGAACTCTTGAGTGGCTGATGATTGGATGGTGTCACAGGGCAGCCAGCTGGAGACTGAGGAACAGGGGCCTCAGCAAGGTGCCTGTGGGAGTGAGTTGGCCTGTTGAGCTGTGGGAGTCTGTTGCTTCCTCTCAGTAGCATGGTCAGCCTGGGGTCCTGTCCAATGGCTCAGAATTTTCTGTATGTGTTTCCCCTTCTCCTACCTGGGTAACTTTGAGGGAGTCAGTGCTGGGGGCAGGCAGGATTTGAGTCTACTCTGGGGCCAGAACACCAGT